ACTAGAGATTGGCACATTTCAAAAATAAATGCAAAAGAGTGTAAACGAGAAAATAAATCCAAAAGAGAGTAAACGAGAAAACGAGAGTTAAGAGAGTAAATGAAAGTTAAAAGAGTAAATGAAAGTTAAGAGGTGGTGTACACATTTCAAAAATAAATCCAAAAGAGAGTTAGGAGGCACCAAAGTAAGGTGGACACATTTCCAGAGTAAACGAGAGTTAAGAGGCGGTGGACACATTTTGAAAATAAATCCAAAAGAGAGTTTAAAAGGCACCAAAGTAAGGTAAACACATTTCGAAAATAAATCTAAAAGAGAGTTAAGAGGCACCGGACACATTTTGAAAAATAAACGAGAGCTAAGAGGCGGTGGACACAGTTCGAAAATAAATCCAAAGAGAAATAAACACATTTTGAAAATAAATCCAAAGAGAAATAAACATATTTCGAAAATAAATCCAAAGAGAAATAAACACATTTCGAAAATAAATCCAAAGAGAAATAAACATATTTCGAAAATAAATCCAAAGAGAAATAAACACATTTCGAAAATAAATAAATCCAGATTAAGAGGCTAAATCCAAAGAAAAATAAATCCAAATTAAGAGGCTAAATCCAAAGAAAAATAAATCCAAATTAAGAGGCTAAATCCAAAGAGAAATAAATCCAAAGTTTGAGAGATGACGAAATTTCGGAGTTTCGAAGTGGACACATTTCCAAAAATCCAAAGTTAAGAGGTGGACACATTTCGAAAATAAATGAGTTTTCGACATGAAAGTTATAAGAGGTTTACACATTCACATTTCGAAATATTTCGAATGTTTTGAAAGTTAATAAGAGGTGTACACATTTCCAAACATTTGGAGTGTTTCGAAAAAAATTTGAGAAGTGTACACATCTCGAAAATAAATTTTAAATTTTAGTTAAGAGTGAAGTGAAAATAAAACAAGAATAAACGAGGTGAAAATAAAAGTAGAATAAACGAGGTGAAAATAAAACTAGAATAAACGAGATGAAAATAACCTAATGGTGAAAATAAAACTAGAATAAACGAGATGAAAATAAACTAATGGTGAAAATAAAACTAGAATAAACGAGGTGAAAATAAACTAGTGAAAATAAACTACAGTTAAGAGGAGCTGCCAAAGAGGTGGACACATCTCAAAAATGAGGTGAAAATAAAACAAGAATAAACGAGGTAAAAATAAAACTAGAATAAACGAGGTGAAAATAAACTAGAATTGAAAATAAACTAGTGGTGAAAATAAAACTAGAATAAACGAGTCGAAAATAAACTAGTGAAAATAGACTGGAGTTAAGAGAAGCCGCCAAAGAGGTGGACACATCTCGAAAATCGAAAAAAACGAGGTTTTTAAAATAAACGAGGTTTTGAAAATAAACGAGCAAAAAGGTGGACACATTTCAAAAAAACAAACGAGCAAACAGTGGCACATTTCAAAAAAACAAACGAGCAAAAAGGTGGACACATTTCAAAAAACATTAACGAGCAAAAAGGTCGACACATTTCAAATAAACAACGAGGTAGATAGATGTCGCACCAGGTCGATCATGTGAACAAGGTCGATACATGTGAACGAGGTCGCACGAGGTAGATACATTTCAAAAATAAACGGGAGACATGTTTGAGAAGGCATGAGGTAGATACATTTGCACGAGGTAGATACATGTACACGAGGTAGAGGTAGAGGTAGAGGTAGATACATGTCGCGAGGTAGATAACATTTCAAAAATAAACGGTAGACATGTTTGTGACGCACAAGGTAGATACATGTCGGTGTACACATTTAATAAACAGTAGACATATGTTTGTGACGCCAGCAGCAGTAGATACATGTCGCAAACTTGCGAAAAACGTAGACACATGTTTGTGATAGATGTCGCACAAGCATGTTTACGTTTACTGAGCACGTTTGTGACACGTGAGGTAGATAATAAACCAGGTGGACACATTTCAAAAATAAATGGAAATGATAGACACATGTCGCACAAGCATGTTTACGAGCATGTTTGTGACACATGAGGTAGATACATGTCACACATGTCGCAAACTTGCGAAAATAAACCAGGTGGACGCAGTTCAAAAATAAACGGTAGACACATGTTTGTGACACATGTCGCACGAGCATATTTATGGCAGATGTCTACTTCAGAATGTTTGTGACACATGTCTACCCCACAATGTCGCAAACCTGGGTGACAGATGTCTACCTCACAATGTCACAAACCTGCTAGAGTTAAGAGGCGCCAAAGAGGTGGACACAAAAATAAACCAGGTGGACACATTTCAAAAATAATTTTGTGTCCACATTTCAAAAATAAATAAACACTAGAGTTAAGAGGCGTGAAAGAGGTGGACACATTTCGAAAATAAACAAGCAAAGAGGTGGACACATTTCCAAAATAAACGAGGTTTCGAAAATAAACGAGCAAGGAGGTTGACTCTTTTCAAAAAAAGGAGGTGGACGAGGTAGACATGTGTTGATATAATTAAGAGGTCGTGACATGTAACAAACCTACGAGTGACATGTCACAAACTTGCGAAAAATAAACCAGGTGAACACACATTTTAAAAAATAAACAAGCTAAAAATAAACTAGGTGGACACATTTCAAAAATAAACGGTAAACACATGTCCCATATATCACAAACCTGCGAAAATAAAAGGTGGACACATTTCGAAAACGACGTGGACACATTTCGAAAATAAACGGTAGAACAAGGTGGCCACATTTTGAAAATAAATTTGAAAATAAAGGGTAGAACGAGGTGAGATATTAACCATACCAGGTCAACACATTTCGATCGAGAATTTAAGAGGTGGACACATTTCGAAAATAAACCGTATGCAAACGAGAGGTGGATACATTTCAAAAATATTCGACAATAAGGTGGACACATTTCACCGTATACAAAGGAGAGGTAGATACATTTAAAAAATATTCGAAAATAAGAGTTGAGACATTAACCAAGTGGACACATTTCGAAAATTCGAAAATTTTTAGTGGTGGATACATTCGAAAATTCGAAAACAAACCGTATACAAACGAGAGTTAAAAAAATCCAAATATAATCGAACTAAATTTTTATGAAACATATCGAAAAAAAAAATCCAACTATAATGGAACTAGTTTTTATCGAATTAAGTTTTCATAAAACGTATCGTAAAAAATGAGATGAAAGTTTATGTGCCTAAACTTGTTTTGGGTCAAACATAAATCGGCATTTGTTCAATGATCAATCATGGAATTGGGGTTTTTAAACAGATTTGGATCAAACAATTGATTAAAATCTGAAATATGTCTACAAAAAATATTTTCCTTGACCAGCTGGGTTTTAAAACCCAGCTTTTGCATAATAACTGGAGGCACATTAAGGAAAGTATTTCAATATCCAAGTATAAAATCTAAAATTAACAGTGTTCAAAATCAAAAAAAATAATATTATTTGCAATTATATATATATATATATATATAT